TTTTTTTATTTGTTCTTATTTTATTACTGACTTTTTACTTGTGTTTTTTTATGAAAATAAAACTTTGCGTTGAAGAAAAGTAGATTTTTGTTTGTATAAGTAGATTTTTGGTCAATTGTAGTTCTTCGAAAGAAAATCGGAATCGGCAAAAATCGGTATCGGCAGATCACACTAACAAAAAATCGGAATCGGCCAAGAAAATTGCAATCGGTGCATCTCTAACAGAAATCATTCTAATATGCTTATTTGCTGCTCAATTATCAAATGTTATTGGCACTCAATTATTAATAGGGGCAGTCATGGCCTAATGGTTAGAGAGTCGACTTGTAACCCAAAAGTTGCGGGTTCGAGTCTCGGTACTGGCAGGGATTGTAGGTGGGGGGAGTGAATGACCAGCGCTCTCTTCCACCCTCAATACCACGACTGAGGTGAGACCCTTGAGCAAGGCACCGAACCCCCAAACTGCTCCCTGGGCGGCACAGCAAAAATGGTTGCCCACTGCTCCGGGTGTGTGTTCACGGTGTGTGTGTCACTACTCACTACTGTGTGTGTGCACTTGGATGGGTTAAATGCAGAGCACAAATTCAGAGTATGGGTCACCATACTTGGCTATACATCACGTCCTAAAAACAATAATGGTTTATTATTATGATTATTATCATCAATGTTGAAAACAGTTTTATATATATTGTAATTGCAAAAATGGTCTTCAGTGTCACATGATCCTTCAGAAATCATGCTAATATGCCAAAATTTCTTCTATTTTGTGAAAACTGTGATACATTTTTTAGGATTCTTTGATGAATAGACAGTTAAGAATAACAACATTTATTTGAAACTTTTGTAATTTATTTTGTCACTTTTGATCAATTTAGCGCATCTTTGCGGAATTTTTTTTTCTTTTTCTAACTCCAAACTTTTGAATGGTAGTGTATCACAGTTTCCACAACATATTAAGCAGCAAAATAATAAGAAAAATAATAAGAAGAAATTTTTGACATATTAGCATGATTTCTGAAGGATCATGTGACACATCTTTGCAATTACAATATATATATAATCATAATGCTATTTGTCTGCCTGACTGACTGCAGGCGATTTCTACACTGTGCCCATTTCTGCTATTTTCTGCTACACAAGGTTTCCCCACAGTTCCATTTTCCATAAGCTCCCTCTGAGTTTTGTTCACAAATCAATTTGAAAGAGATGAATTGTGGGGGAAATCATGACAGTGCTCCATTTTTTTTAATCGACAAGACATTTTGTGCACAGAGCAGTTGCGGTGGAAATGTTTTCCTATCACGTCTTAGAAACCAATATGCACTGGGCCAATGCATGCCACAGTTTTGTTCTTATAGAAACCGTGTGCTTATTTTTATCCATAAAAGCCAATAAATCCATGGTGATTTGCAAATGTCTCTCCAGTTAAGCGTAAATATGAAAAGAGGAGAGCACGACCGTGGAAGGGAATGAAAATTGAGTTATTATTTTCACATGAATAAGCAAATGATTACAGAGAAGATGAAAGGGCTGTTTGAAAATTTCTCTCGAATTGTCAAATTTAGACACATTTCAAAGCCGTTACGCGGTCTGTATTCATTTCTACTGCACATGAAATGACTAATAGGTTATGGTGTGGAAACAAAAAGGGCTGTTGTAGGTTCTTTTCCAGCTGCATGCCTAGCTCATCTGTCTGGTATGTTGTGTAATTTGAAAGGCCTCTCCAGATAATTGATTGTACATTGTACAAGGCAGAAAATGAAAATGGAATTCTCTGTTTGAAGCAGAGCCGATATGACAAGACTGGAGCGCCGAAAAGAGGAAAAAACACTTAAAGTAGAGTTATAGATCTCAGAGAGGAAATCTGGAGAGAGATGCTGGGAGTTGTCTTGGGGGCCGGCATGTCAGTGGAGTACATGAAATGACTAATAGGTTATGGTGTGGAAACAAAAAGGGCTGTTGTAGGTTCTTTTCCAGCTGCATGCCTAGCTCATCTGTCTGGTATGTTGTGTAATTTGAAAGGCCTCTCCAGATAATTGATTGTACATTGTACAAGGCAGAAAATGAAAATGGAATTCTCTGTTTGAAGTAGAGCCGATATGACAAGACTGGAGCGCCGAAAAGAGGAAAAAACACTTAAAGTAGAGTTATAGATCTCAGAGAGGAAATCTGGAGAGAGATGCTGGGAGTTGTCTTGGGGGCCGGCATGTCAGTGGAGTATAATCAGAGCATGTACAAATATAGGCGCGCTGCTCTGCTAAGAATCAGAGCATTGTAAGCGCTGTTAAATCAGTCCGTCTTCAGGCACCAAATACAATCAAGGCTATTGAATGACGTGTGCTGAGCCAACGGGCGGTCATGCCGTGTTACAGCTGGGTAATTTTGCCTGCTAGTTACTGGCTGCTTGAGGCCCCAAAGAAATTCCTGTTAACTTGTGCAAGTGTCCAAAGGGCGATAGAGAGAGCGACCCTACAGGTCAAAGGTCTCCATCCAAACCATGCAAATGCCAGAAAGAGAATCATTCTCATTTGAGCTTACCGAAAACCTCACAACTCGGCTAAAATTTATGCTATAGAACATATTCAATTTTAAAGCAGCATTCAATTTTGTTTATATGAAATTAAATATTAATATAATTCATAAATTAAACAAATGAGATGCAGGCTTATTATAGTTACTATTATTATAGTAAAACTGAATCATAAAAAATTGTTAATTGAAATAAACATTAACAAATAAAATTAGGTATTAAAAAACTTAAACTTATTTTATTTCAACTAGTTGCCAAAGCAACATTTCATTTAGTTTAAATTGATGTACTAAAAATGACTAAAACTGAAAAATAACTATTAAAAATGAAAAGCATCACTAAAACTTTATCTAAAATGAAAATGAAAATGGAACATACAAAAATAAAAATATATATTAAAATAAAAATAATATATATATTATAAAAATATATAGTAGTACCTCAGTAATACTAAAATAACAATGACGATGTATAGCCTTTAATTATGTATTTTGTAAAAATGATCATGATGATAATGTTTAATAATAAGCATGGCTTCAGTTTATTAAAGTCACTGTTCAAGATAGGAAAATAGTAATAATAATAATGGTTACAGATTATAAAATAATAATCAAAGAAACTAATTACCAGCAATAAAACAAAAAAATACAAGCAATACAACAAAAAAATATTCTGAAAGAAGTAATAAAATATAAAATAAAACTACTTGTCTTTATATTATGGGTCTTCAATTGTACAGTATTGTAAGTCATGAATACTGACTTTACACTGTCAGAGTTTGACACAATACACAGCGACAAGTCTATTAGGCTCCATTTATGCTGCAATGCCTAATGCACAGATCCAGTATTCTCTGTCCTGTCTGTTTACATTCACTTGAAACAGCCAGCTGTGTTTACATTAATACCTAATCAAGCACTAAGGACAAGAGCATTTTACTATTCATGTGTGCAGCTGCTCTTCTTGGAATGGTTTTATTTTACTATCAACTTGGTACAAAAGTACCATTAACATACACATTTAGGGCCCACAGTATAAATTACCATAAAATAGTGCTCAAAAGTTGTCAGATAGTAGATCAAGGCAATCATGCTACTTTCAAGCCTACAAAAACAAGCTGGGACAAGCTATTTGTCTCCGTGCTGTGTAATGTGATGTATGAACGTGCGATTATTCATGTGCAGTTGCACATTCATCTGGGTTGAGTGAGGAAATGGAGTGAAAGAGATGAGCCAGCCTTTTATTTGACACCAGCTGATGTCAAACATCTGTGCATCTCTTCCTCCAACACTGATAATGAATGGATGGGCGGTGCACGCCTCTCCTCTGCACCGCTGTCACCACTCTGAAGTTCCGGAAAGCATCTGCTCATTAGAGACACGTGAAGTTTGTCCAAAGTGCAAAGCTTGCATCATGCTCTGGATCACGGTGGATGGCAGCAGGTGTCGGCTGTCTCTTTTATGCGATCATGCTGACTCTGTTTTCTACTCTCATTTAAGCAGACTGCATTTAGAGGATTTTGGCATTGATTTGTTCAGCTCTGAAATGATGCAAATCTTACACAGCCTCATCTTTCATCTCATTTGTGTTAAAAAGCAGAAAGAAGAGTTATTTGCATGGGGAAAGCATTGAGGTAGCAGCTTTAAGCCTGCAGCTCAGCTCCTGGTGTGCATAAGCGCAAGGTCATCTGTTGATGCACACAACATATGCGCGTCTTGAAAAATACTTGATGTTGGCCATTTGCATGTAGATGCTGTTCTCACAGCATTCTTCGGCAAGTTTGTGTGTAAGGTTTCTACTGCAGTTATAAAGCTTTCTCAAACTCTTACAATCAAATCGGACCATCTAGAACCAACATAAGTACCACCTAGTCACAGTTTTCCCAGCATTGGGCAGACTGACATTTATTTGCATGCAAACTTAAAGGGCAAATATGTAGTTTCTGTGCTACTAGTGTCGCCAATTGCAAAAATAAAGCATATTTCAAGCAACCTTTGCCCACACCCCTACACTCATTACACCCTTAGGATTATTCTTTACCATATTTACCCTGTAAATAATTAAGTAAATTAGCATGATAATATCGTGTATCGGTGATTTCACTAGCTGACGATAGGACGATATGATTAAGGAGCATATCGCCCAACACTATCATATCCATGCCTAAATACTGTATCTTCTCTAAAGCTTTAGCCTGCTACAGTAGCCATGCCCCAAACTCTCACTAGGTTGAGCTGGAAAGAGACCGATGGATCTGAAAGAACCGCTCGAAATGAGAAGATATACCTATGAATGGCATACTGAAAGTTTACAATCCGAGATACAAATTTTAAAGTCCAATTCAAACACATGAATAAATACATTTTGAAATTCGATCTCAAAATCTCTCCCATCTGTCTAAAAACATCTGTTCCTCTGTCTGACTGGTTATAATATCAATACCATCCTCGAAAGTGAATGCTGAATTCAGTCAAAAGCAGACTACTAAGCATTCATGAAATCAAGGACCTTGAAACATACTTTGAGGTAAAAAGAGAATAATTTCATGCCTTTTTGTCAGTCATTTCAGTTTTCACCCTTCTCTTTTTACCTATTCACATTCTGGACTGCAGAAGTGTAGGCTACGCATTAGAGCAATATTCGCTTGATATATCTAAACTAAAACTATTCCACAGGTTAATGCGCAATAATTGTTTATGGTTAATTGAACAAGCATTAAAAATAGTTTAAACCCATTCCAATAATCATCTGTAAAACTAATTGGGATTTTTAGAAAAGTATGATTAAAATACAGTAAACTGAAAAATGGACGTTTCATTATTTCCTGAGTTTCAAAAATAAAATACCAATTAAAAATGTCTACATCTTTTAATATTGTATCACCTATCACCTCGGTCACCACATATGACTTAACTAATGTGTGGGTGTAATTGTGTTAGCATGAGAAGCAATGTATGCTTGCTTGTCCAGTTTCTTTGTGTAATTCTGCCATTAAGTACATTTCTATGTGTCTGTAGGGGATGGAGGACACGGAACAGCTCCAGGAGAAGCTGTTAGAGAAGCAGGATAGCCAGCAGTACCAGGCTCTAACCCAGAAGGACAGAGAAACAAAGAGTCCTATTTCTGAAGATGAAGGCGTACAACTAGTGATCAAGGATGAAGATCAACCTGTGCTCCATAACACATACGAGCATGCAAATGGGAATATGTTACCCTCACTTCCTCAAGATTGTGCACCACTCAAATCAGAGGATTGTGACGCATTTCCTGTTGCTGCTATGCCTCTGCACCATGGTCATCCTCGCCCTAACTCTCACACACCGGAGCAGTGGCAGCATGGGATGCTGGAATACAAGGTGCCTCCGAGTGCCCTTGCAAACGTTGAACAGTCTAGGCCAAAAGAGGGCCATAATCAGGTGGGAATGGTGTTGCCCACCCTAAAGCAGAAACCCCCCACATCTCCAGAAATCCCACCTGATAGGGCTGAGCCCCCTAAAAAAGAAGAAGCATGCTTCAATTTTAATCCCCTCCTCTACCCTAGGGGTAATCCTGGCATCATGTCCCCATTAGCTAAGAAGAAGATGCTGTCCCAAGTCAGTGGAACAGGACTGCGTAATAATTACCCATACGGACCCCCACCTCCATTAGTCAGTAGGAGGTTGTCCAGCAGTAGTACAGAAGGGTCTTCTTCTGGGCAGCAGAACTCCCAGGCTCCTTCCGCTGCAGAGACCAACATGGTGAACAAACGGCCATCAGTTATCCAGCATGCTCAAAGTTTCAAGTCCAGAGGTAGTGAGGACAGGAATTCCTCAACAGAGGGCTCTCAGAAAGAGGGGTGTAGTGTGGGAGATCAAATTCCCCAGCCACAGCCTACCCCGATAAGAGAGCCATACCTTATGAGGGCTGACCCCCATTCCAGCATGGAAAAATCTGCTGAGATGCCTCGTCCTGGCCAGGCTCCCAGCTTCCTGAGTGACTTTTATTCCTCACCTCACCTACACAATCTCAGCCGACAAACCGAGCACCACCTGTGCAAGGAGCAGATAAGCAAGTATCTTAGTGGAGACGTTTACCCTCGGGACTGTGAGACCGCCCAGGGCTTTCCACCAAGCCAGCATCCCGACAATGTGGGTTTGAATTACAGTGCCCGGCTAAGTCAGAAAGAAAAGGGACCTCCTGCAGAAAGGGTAACAGAGGAGCAACCAACTGATTTGAGTCTCCCAAAATCCTCTCCGCACAAACTGCCTCTTTCCACATCCTCTCTCTGTGGCATCCCACATCCCACAATACAACAGGACATTAAAAACTCTTCTCTCTTTCAAGCAGGCAACAGTCAGAGCTCAAGCATAGATTACCATCCCAGGGCCTGTCGTGTTCCTCCTATGACTGTGTCCATGTCTAAAAAGGTCCCCGAATCTCACTCAAAGATTCTGGAGAAAGCACACAATGGCAGAGGCGAAGAGTCCTTGGGATGCAAAATCGATGAGATGGCTCGGCCCATTCTGAGCACCAAAAGCAGCCCACAGAATATCTGCACTGCGTGGCCACTGAAAAGGACCCTTGAGGATTTGGAAAACGAACCTTCGGAGAAGAAGATCCGGGCTGTGACACCCTTGCACTGCTCGACACAAAGAGACGGCCCAGGGAAACCTAGGACACCAGAAGCTGAGAGTGAGTCCATGAAGCATGCAGAACTTACTCACACGGCGCACATCAACAGTTACACATCAGAGGGCCACAAGATCCCCTTCCCCTCCCACCTGTTCCAAGGGCTGTATCCAGGGACATTTGTATCTCAGGTCCAGGACATGTATGAAAGCTTGGGCTCCCACGTTACCCCAAGTTACTCCTATCCACTGCAGTACTTGAAGAACCCGGCTGTTCTGTCACCACTCATGCCCCCCTTCGCTATTCATTCCTTAATGATGCAAAGACAGTTCCTGGCTGCCAATCCCGCCCACATTTACAGGCACCAAGTGGGTACCTCATACGGGGACATTCTGCACCCTGGCCTCTACCCCATTTCGGCCCTTCACCCCCAGCCAGCTTTCAGTCCCCCTCAACTCTCTTCAGTGCACCCCAGCACTAAACTTTCCTAGGTGATTCAGTCTGATATTCCCTGGCCGGACCTGCCCAGCCCATGCTTAACTCAGACTTGATGCTCCCCAGAAAATCCCATCAAGCATGGTCACACTATGTACCCAACGAATAGCAGTGTTTTATAAACGTTTTAACATGGGAGCAGTTATTTCTGTTATTTACCTTCTTGCCACTCAAGTTTTTTGATTTGCACTTTTCTTTGAACAGGGGCCAACTGGGCTGATTGTGGCTTGTTCTCACCACACTGTTTGAAAGTGTCAGTTGGCTTGTTCGAAGATATGTTGCCTTGGCACAGGTGCCCAAGTGGAGATGGGCACGATGTCCATGGAGGCATCCAAAGGAAAGTCGAGTGACAAATCAGAGCAATGCAACAGTGCTATTTCAGTCCATTCTGAGAGCTCTTTTATCTGAAACACTATGATACGATAATGCAAGAGCTGCCTGGGTAAATGTTGGACCTTTTCACATTACTCTTGACTGTAAATTTTTTGTTGCTGTTGTTGTTGTTCTTTTTTAAAAAATTTAACAATGTGGTAGTTTTATATGTTTATTTTTGAATCTTACAAGGGTTAAGCAATGAGATATCACATTTGATAAAGTTGCAAAAAAGGGACCCGAGTATTGCAGTTTGGTGTGTTACACGGTTACATGTACATAAAACAAACTAAGCTTTCCTTGAAGGAATCTTAAATGTCAGTGATACAATGTGAGGTAGGCTTCACAAGCTTCTTTGACCACTGTCTGCTGGCCTCCTTTTCAGCTACTCTCACACCCAGCCAAGCTCGCTTCTGATCACCAGAGCAATGTGGAATGTGTTTGTCAAATGTAGGACTGAGGTGCTTGTACATAACCTTCACAAACTGAACACATTTTGTATCATGTTCACTCGCTACTGTAATTTCTGACTGCTCTGAACTGTGGAGCTAAAGAGCGATTTTGGATGGTGAGAGGATAATGCAGGACTACTTAAGTGTCAGAAAGTGAGTTTTGTATTTGCTGGTGTACACTTGCTTACTCAGAGGACTTTTTATCAGGAGATACAACTGAAATTTAAAACTACATTTGGGGAAAATACATTTTAGGAGCACTTAGAAAAGCCCACACAGGCTTTTCCATCCATTTCTGTTTAAGGTTTGCTAACAGTTAAAATTTTAGATATTGTTTGAACTTTAGGGCTGTAAGTGCTGGCAGCAGTCAAATTTGCGTCTGTATTAAATTAAGTGTAACACTTGCCAGAAAAGAGTTTTTAATTATAAAAGCATGATTTCTTTGCACAAAAGATTTTGGGAAAGTACCAAGAAAATTTGAAAAGTAACTCAGTTCTCCTAGGGTAATCAATTATATTTTTATTTTTCCTTTTTTTTTTTGTTTTGATGTATTAGTTGTAGAAACTAAACTTCAAGAAATGTATTTACTCCAACAATGTTTGGGGTAACACTCAAGGTTGCTATGTAACATTTTGTAACGAGTAATAAACAGATTTATAACTTAATAGAACAGTTCATCCACCTATGTTTTCATAATATTTGCCAAGATACTGTATATCTAACAGAAATACTAGCTACCTTAAAGGGATAGTTCGCCCAAAAATGAACATTTTGTCATCATTTACTTAACTTCATGTTGTTCCAACCTTTGTTTTACATATAATGAAAGTCAGTAGGGTCCAATGTTTCATTGTATTGACAAAAACAGCTGTATTTCACAATTAGTGTTTCACAGAGGATATGATGTCATACAATTTGGTATAATACAAGGTTGAGTAAGTGATGATAGAATTTTAATTTTGGGGTGAACTGTCCCTTTAAACTTTCATTGTATGGGATAAGTGTGCACATTATTCAAAATATCTCATTTTGTGTTTCACAGAAAATGTTTTACATATTATTCACCTTGGGGCTTAAATGGTGATTAAAAATGAAATTTTAGGGTGAACTACTCCTTTAAATGAATGCAATCACTAAGCCTATTTCTCTGCCCTACTTTGCATACTTTATGCCATAACCATTGGCTAGAAGAAAAGAGTGTAGCGTACTGCATATTACTATGGATTAAAATGTGTTTAAGAAACATAATTTGTTATATATGTATTGACAAAAAAATTTAACTAATGTTTATCTATATATACCGCAGCCATGTAGAGATTTTCACACTGCCCTACAGTACTCAAGCTCATATTGAAAAGGCACTGTACTAGGACACATCTGCTCTAGTTTACCCTATTCATTATAATTGTAATGAGCACTGGGAATTTTGTGGCCCCATAATTAAACTGTTTGTCAAGAGCACTTAAAGTGTCTCTTTCAGTGTAAGATTGTCACAGCCAGCTGCACATTGGAGGTTAGAGTTCAAACTTGACTGTTCATACTTCAAAAATCTGGCCTAAATCTTTTAGCTGCTACAGGAATGCAGTTTTGCCACCTTGCTGTAAGGTTAAACACTGGTCCATTTAAAGCCATTGCCACTGTGTTTTGCCACAAGATATGTATATATAGCATGCTATGGTTAAAATAGCAGCAGTGGACCAAAGTATCCACTCTATAGTTAACAACTTTATATTTCATGAAGCGTTTTAATATATGGCATTATAATAGTTTACTTGTCCCACAGCTGGGCTTTGCTTACAAAAGAGTCATAAGATTAAAAACCTTCAAGTTGACCGTGGCACAGCAAAACGTTTTGTACCAATTAAAACACTTACTAATACATATTTTAGGAGAGCAAGCTCACCATGAAACAACTGCACTTCATTAAGATATAAAATACACTCTAAATGTTTTCCAAGCTTTTAATACCCCCTCTAGTGGTTGAATTAAATACAACATAATTACAGACTGCTGTGTGGAAATTTGGCTTTGTGGAGCCCAGAAAACTTCTCAACACCATTTTAAATTGAAATTATTATTCGTGAGTACATCATGCTGGTGACATGTAAAGTTTTTGTTTGATGACCAACTTCCGTTTGGGAATGTAGTTTAGAATTTGGTCGTGAGGAAAAAAAGCATGATTATAAGAACAGCACTGGTCCCCACAGCCCAAAACCACCACGTGAGGAAAAGTGCCATTAAGTGTTTCTCAAACTCAGACAAGGTCGCCTGTTGACTCAGAAGGAAAAGGCATCTGACGCCATCTCTGTTTCCTGCCTTTGAATGTTTCTGTAATTAAAATACACATTTGGTGCAAAATGTGGAAAGCCTTGGCTGTACCACAAATTGTTTCCACACTGGAACATTTACATTTATATACACGTCCTGTTGAACTGCAAATAACTCAATACATTTATTTATGATTGTCTGTTTGTACCCAACCTTAAAAAAAAAAAAAAGAAATAGCTGACAGCTGACTTCTAACCAGTTGCATTTGTTTTACATTACATTTGATGTTTAAGTTAATGTTACAACAAATAATTGTTCTTACTGTTTACTCCAGAGGCTTTATAAAATTTAAAATCTTTTTGAAATGCTTCACTTAATTTAATCAGAGAATGAGTTCACAATCTGAAATGTGCTGGTTTCCCATCCACCTCAAGTGCTAACCCAAGTGGCTTCAGTCTACTACACAACTGAACCATTACACTCCTTCAAACCATTAAAACGGAAATAAATCCTTTAAAATAAATCCTTTGCACATAAACCTTTGTACACATACATTACACATGTGCATAAAGACAAATGGCTTGTGCATGGTCAGACTCAACAGTAAAAAATGAAAGGCAAGTGCATAGAGGGAGAGAATGTGTACAGTAAAATGTCAAATAAGAATTCAATAATCAAAGAAACATCAGTTTGCGTCATATTTCCTGCAGCACCGCTTAGCTTGAGCAGAGCGCCCCCTGCCGGTCAAATGAGAACACTGTCAAAAGCATTTAAGGCATTAGCCTAAAGCTACAACTGCTATTCATTCAAGAATATAATTTTTGCAGTATGTTTTTACATTGCTTAAATTAAATGTAAAAATAAGCACAGTGCGCCTATTGAATGACAACAATATAAACTGAAAAAACAAATTATATAGATCAGTGGTTCTCAACTTATTTAGCTTCATCAAGTGCAAGCCTTGACAAAACCTGTTGTACAAAACCTGATCCAATCACAGGCTCTGTTATACCTCTGCAATTGAGGGTATGAGTTCATTTGTCACAATTGACTGTGACTGTAGTGACAGGACTAGAATTTGTGCCTTATCAGTATTTAACCAACCCAATGGACAATAACTACTGTGCTGTGCAGAGTGGAGGCAGTTCATTGTTTGCCTGTCCTGGTGGCACAGCTGTTTGTGTGAGCTCTACCCTCAGCAACGGTGCTCTGGTAATCTGCTGGCCTGTGCACAATACAGCCAACTATTCAACTGTTCTGCCCACTAAAATACACCGCTTCACTTTGCGGTTGTCTTTGTTTTTTTTGTTTTTTTTACCTTGTAAATCATATATTCATAATGTATGGTTTTGTTCAACTTTATTTAGTTGAATATAACTAATAAGGATGAGTTTAACTATATTTTCGGAGATTAGATTTTGGAGTTTATTTAATTTGGAGTTAGCTATACTGTTGACAGATTCTGTCAATTAACTACAGAGAGTTATTGACTTCCCTGTATCTAACCTTCTCAAAGCAACCCAAAATAGGCTTCTAAGGGTATTTTACCATCATAGTTCAATGGAAGATAGAGTGTGCTGTAAGTGTTATAGTCAAACAGTGAAATATTGTGTTTATGGGAAATAGAACGCCATGGAAAATGTATATTAGGAAAATTACTAAAGGGCCTAATACAGAACCTTGGGTAACCTCATATAGGTAATTGGGGCCTAGGCAAAAGTGTTAACAGGCAATATTCTAGTTTTATGATTGGTCATAAACAATATGAATTAATTTCTTTATTGAGTCCATAAAAACAGCATGAGTAAGTATGTAAAAAGCAGCACTGCAGCTTAGCAAAACTACAAAGGTAGAACTAATAATCAAATTACAGTAACACTTTACAATAAGGTTCTATTAGTTAACGTGAGCTGACATGAACTAACAATGAATAGTTGTATTTTTATCAGCTAATGATAACAAATATTAATAAATGCTGTATTTGCTCATTGTTAATCTTAGTTATTAACCTTTTGTAAAGTGTTACCCAAATTACAATAATAATATATCAATGGACACTTTTTATGGAACACTAGCTATATGCTGTGGCAAATAAAGAGAGTTAAAACATCTTTCTCTATGGACCATA